CCTACTGCCACATACAAAGAGTGGACTCCAGAAGATAAACAAACCAAAAGTAAGAGGTAAACTTAGGAAATTAATAGAAGATAACGTAGGAGAAAACCTTCTAGGAGCAGAGAATGCTTGGAAACAAAACTTCAAAGGCATGAACCATAAGGCAAAACAAATTAACCATGTCTGAAATGAGCAAGGGGCTAAATCTGGAACATACAAAACACTTCTGCAAATCAACAAGAATGAATGATTTATAGAAAAGGAAACCATAAGCCCATGAACATACGAGTATTTAAATGCATTAGTGTTAGAGAAATGCAAATAAACATAGAGATATCACTTGACATTTAGCCAGTTGGATAATGTCAGGAGTTGGTAGCGATGTGGGCAGAGTTGATGGGCGTGGAATGGGTGCAGAGCGTCTAGATCAGTGGTTCTCAACCTTCCTAATGCCGCGGCCCTTTAATACAGTTCCTCATGTTGTGGTGACCCCCAACCATAAAATTATTTTCGTTGCTACTTCATAACTGTAATTTTGCTACTGTTTTGAATCGTAATGTAAATATCTGATATGCAGGATGTATTTTCATTGTTACAAATTGAACATAATTAAAGCATAGTGATTAATCACAAAAACAATATGTAATTATATATGTGTTTTCCGATGGTCTTAGGCGACCCCTGTGAAAGGGCCGTTCGACCCCCAAAGGGGTCGCGACCCACAGGTTGAGAACCGCTGGTCTAGATGGTCATCTGGCATGCCTAGTTAAATTAAGTAGAAACATACCCTGTGAGTAGAAATTCCAATTCAAAAGGAGTTCTCACAGAGGCTCATGAAGGGCCCAGGGATATCTACTGCAGGAATACTGTGGTGCTATGTCCATCCCTGGGAAAGTGGATGGGGTGTGTATGTGTAATGGATATCCACTATAGAGTCTAGGCAGCATCTAGAAGCATTTTCTTTTTCTTTTTTTTTCTAATATATTTTATTGATTTTTTTACAGAGAGGAAGGGAGAGGGATAGAGAGTTAGAAACATCGATGAGAGAGAAACATCGATCAGCTGCCCCCTGCACACTCCCTACTGGGAATGTGCCCGCAACCAAGGTACATGCCCTTGACCAGACTCGAACCTGGGACCCTTGAGTCCGCAGGCTGACGCTCTATCCACTGAGCCAAACCGGTTAGGGCTAGAAGCATTTTCATCAAGCGATCAATAACTTTGTTTTGTGTGTATTTCCACAGGATACCTTATCTATATATCAGTATATAAAACCCTAATATGCAAATAGACTGAACAATGGAACAACGGAACAACCAGTCACTATGACATGCACTGACCACCAGGGAGTGCGCACAGAACATGGTGGGCATTGAACGGCTGCGGCGGGATGGTGAAGCAGGTGAGTGGGGGCGACAGACCAAGCAGGTTGCCACTGTCATAGGGGCGAGCCTCTGGTGGTTAATGAAAATTCTTTGCTCCCGTGCCGCAGTCCCGCCCAGTGCCAGCCTGATCACCCCAAAGGGCTTCTCCACCTCCCCCTGCTCCTGAGGGGCAATCGGGGAGGCACCCGCAGCCGCAGCCGGGGTGCAGGAGCAGCTCCTTGATGGCCCCGGAGGGATTCTCCACCTCCACATGCTGGGGTTGCAGGCTCTATCCCCAGTAGGGGGCGTGCAGGAGGCAGCTGATCCATGTATTGTCTCACTTTGATGTTTCTCTCTTCTTCTTCTTCTTCTTCTTCTTCTTCTTCTTCTTCTTCTTCTTCTTCTTCTTCTCTCTCTCTCTCTCTCTCAAAATCAATAAAAATATTTTTAAAAAGAGCACAAAAATATTTAAACTGTGGCACTAAATAGAGGGCAAAAAGGACATTTGCTTATCGCATGAGAGCCGAAACAAGAAGGCAGAGCGTCACCTGTTCAACCTCAGCTGGGAATGTGCACGCCCAGTGACTTAGATTGTCCACTCATCTGCAGGTGTCTGTAAGCGGCCACAACAGTGCCTGGGTGTTGATTTGGGGGTTACAGATTTCAGCGAGTGAGTGAATTTGCGAACATGAAATCCACAAATAATGTATGTGGTGGAGAAAGGTGGAGAGGAACAAGGAATAGACAGGCTGAAGCTGGACCATGAATGTCCTCAAAGGCCAAGCTGTATCCCCTGGGCTTTGGGCACCAGGAAGGTGTGAAGCCAGGGAGTCACATGTGTGTGTCAGTGGTGGGTTGAGGGATGTTCAAAGGAGCCAGAAGGATGGGGAGGGCCAGCCTGCAGAATCTCTCTCCTCTGAACAGCAGCAATAAGGCCATGCAAACACTTATTTAATACTTACTGAGCACCTACTGTGGGCCAGGCTCTGTGCTCGGTGTCACCAGGCACTTACAATTCATAGGGAAAGTGGTTTCAGTGGGGGAAGCAGAGGGAATCAGGGATGAATGGGGAGAAGCTCTGAGTTAGACTTAATAAATGCATTGAATGAATGCATCGGGGGAGACGCTTGAGGAAGAAGCGTTCAAGCTGAGCCCGATGACAGTTGGCAGGTGAACATGAAGATGAAGGTGCTCTAGCAGAGGGAACAACAGGTGCCAAGGTCCAATGGTGAGAGAGCCAAGAAGCATTTGGAAACTGAAAGAACTCTCAGGCTGGGTCTACAGTTGGGGAGGGGAGGGAGTGGAGATAGATGAGGTCAGGAACGAGCAGTTCCTCCAGGGCTTTGAGGCCACGATAAAGAGTTGAGACTTTACCACAAAGGCAATGCAGAGCTATGGGAGGATTCCGAGTAGGGGAGTAGCAAGGCGAGATTTACATTTAGAAAGATCCCTCTGGAGGACTGAGGGGAGAGCTGAGAGACAGGGGGGACCAGGGAGTTCGATGAGGTCCCAGATGACGTCCTGGTGAGAGATTGTAGAATGGGTCCCAGGCGACGGATGGAAGAAGGTTCTGTGGGAAGAGCCAGCAGGCCTTGGTAGTGGAGAAGAATGAGACTGGAAGGGAGGAAGGAAGCCAGGGCTCAGGTCCCTGGCTCTGGGGTCTGGGTGGCAACGTGTGTAATATTCCATTTCGAGTAACGGATGTTGGTAGGGGCAAGCTGATGAGCGTGGTCTTGAAGATATGCTGAGTTTGAGAGGTCTGGGGACTCTGAGACCAACAGGCTTGGGGCTCCATGCTGAGGCTGTGGAAGGGGAGAATGGGACATGAAGAGGAAGGTCCAGGAGTGGATGCTGAGAGCCCCAAAATAGGAGAGGAGGGGTTGGAGGCTGAGAAGCAGGGACCATGAAGGTAGGAGAACAATGGAGGGCAGGGTGTGTGTGTGAGGGGAAGGCAGAGATTTCTGGAAACCAACTTGAGTGTGTTTCAAGGGAGGAGGGAGGGTGCCCCAGATCCAGGATACCCCCCCCCCCCCCGCCACC